GAATCGCGACGATCTCATCGATCTCGGCGCGTTTTACTGTCGATTGACGCTATCGCACAACCCGTATATTGCTGATTCCGGATTATATTCAGGAATTTACGTGTACTACTTGTTTGCAGGTTATTTGTTATATCGTTTAAAGAAATCGACAATCAGGTAGCATAGTAATGATCTGAAAGATTTGAGTCTCACTCGAGTATACAAGATATCTGCAAAATGAAAAATATTTATTCGGCAGGTAGCAATAATATATTTATACTTGCACTAATATAAAATATTTTTTCAAATATAAAAAATACACACATTTTCTTCAAACCTTAGCTTTTCATGAAAGCAAGTTCTATTTAAATAAAAGAATTTAAATTTAAGTTAATATATTTTCCGAATAGTTCTGTTTTTTGGATATTTTTTACTTTCAATATACTACCTAATAAATACCGCATATTCGCAATTAACTCGGTAACTGTTGTTATCAAGGTTTATATAGAAAGACTTTTCCTACAGACCACCTCATTTTCTATTTTTTTTTTTTTTTGTAATTGTGTAAAACAAACTTAGTTTGATAATGTGGACATAACAAATATTCTTTCAAATAAATATATATTGTTTTCTTTCTTTCAAGTGAATATATATTTTCTTCAAACCTTAGTTTTTCATGAGAGCAATGTTTTATTTTATTTAAATAAAATAATTTAGGTTTAAATCAATATGATATTAATACTCACCAAATAAATATTTTTTATTTTTTAAACATTTTTTTCTCTTAATGTATTATGCTACTTGAGAGATATCGTGTTTTATGATACCAGACTTTTATAATATATAAAATGTTTAATATATAAAATCACGGGGTTTATTTGGAAAATTTTCCCCACAGTCCATCTCATACTTTTTCTACGTAATTGAGTGAAACATTCTTAGTTTGATAATGTGGACATAAAAAAATTGTTTTGCTATCACACATATGTGATGTTGTGTGCTAATTATTCCTGATTGTCGCGAAAGAAAACAGACGTGTTAACGTTACGATCAACGTAGGCTGAATTCGAGATCGCACAAAGCCGTAATTAAGTCGGATTAATTGCGATTAGCGTCAACCTAATTTCGCGACGATCAACTCCCGGAGGCGTCTTAATCGGTTGTAATCCCAACTATCAATTCCTGCTCCTCACCACACCTGCGTCGTGTAACAAAGAGAAGGACACCTCCTCTGCAGACATCTCGCGCGGAACAAAGAAGGCAAGTCTATTCACAGCTAACATCTGCGTCTATTCACGGTTAATATATATGTTGATTAGCCGCCCTTGCTATCTCTCACCACATTGTTTCGCGACCTCCCGTCGCGGCGATAATTTCCCCGAGCTCTCCGACGGCCTCTTCTTCTCCGGGGTTTAACCCCGCCGAGAGAGCCGACCGTGCCGTGTCTCCTCCAGGGTGCGATTTAATAGAATTTTATCGGGCCGGCCACCGCGGCCATTGAGTCCGTTCGCGTTAAACTCGAGGCGCGATGCCTCGCACCTGGCGTCCCGCCAGCATTACGTAAGGCATTAATTCAACGGGCCCGCGAGATTTGCATGCGTTAGTGGGCGCCCCTCGGAGGTGTCGCACGAGGGAGTTAAGTTTCGCGAGAAGAAGCGAGGCAGAGAGAGAGAGAGAGAGAGAGAGAGAGAGAGAGAGAGAGAGAAAGAGAGAGAGAGAGAGAGAGGAGAGGAGAGTGGACTTTATTGCGTCGGATAGCCGACCGGACAAATAGAGACGTTTCCGTAGGAGACACCGGAATTTATATCAGCGCATGGAGCCGGTTTATGGTCGCTCGCGAAACACTCGACCGTGCGAAAATTCGTCGTGTCTAAACGCTCGCCGTTACGAAAAATACACTGATGTTGGCTCATTCTTTTCTCTCTTTAAGAGGAGCGAATTATCAGAAGTAAGACGAATTAAAGCAACAAGAGACTCCGATGAGAAGTTCAAATTATAAGAAATTTAACCAAAAAGGATCGAGCCAGGACACTGATGTCCCATTAGGATTTTTGGGAAAGCATATTTGTCCCAGTGTGGTAGTAAGTAGAGTGATAACTGATGTGTTCTGAATGCCGAAAAAAGCTGCTTATTTAATTGAATAAGGTTATTATTAATGGTGCGGAAAACATGTCCTAAGACACAAAGAACATGTCCCGTTGGTAGCGAAAGGGTTAATTGATCCTTTCAGCGAGATTTCACTGTGATTGCAGTGCCATTCTTATAATCGAACCACCATTTAGTAAGTACAGCATTTTAGTGAAGAATACACTAATTGTACTTCAAAGAGCAGAGGTTCTTACTAGTTCAAAAAGTGTGTAACATCTTTTCGCTGCACGTCTACATCTCACAAGCTCATGACACATTTACGCGCGCGCATATACTTAGGCAAATCAGAGTGTTTGCAAGAAAGTCTCCCGTGGCGCAGGTGACGATGGCGGGCCTTTACGGGAAAACGCGCCAAGCGAATTGCGCACCACGAGGAGCGCTCGAAGAAGCTCGCGAGCCGTTTCTGTCTACGCGACATAAATTCGACCGTAAAATTTTGATCAGGCGGTTTTATTTCGCAAGCTTCCTCGCCGAGGGTGCGCAAGAAGGGATAGTGTCGGGCTTGCAGTACACCTAAGCCCGTTGTGTCGAGGAGCGACTTGGGACTACGGTCATCGATCGAGGTAACGATACCGTGTCGCGCCGAGTTAATGACACTCGATATAAAGGACACGAAAAAGCTGCAAGACGATGGCTATGCAGTCGAGCTTGAAAAATGTGCAAGAGACAAAGTAAGCAAAGAAAACGCGAATTTATGCGATGGCTATGTATATGTACTTGAAATGGACATTATATTATACACTGAGTGACGCGGTATTTAGGTATCGAATGTAAATAACAAGCGCCAGATTTCATTGTTACATCACTAAGTGCAATTACAATATAATAATAATAATATATTATTGGTCGGTTATCAGCATAGAAAACAGAGAAAAGAAAAACAAATATATAGTAAATGTACAAATATTGGCGACCAAATGGTAGGGCAATAATTTTGCAGTTGATTTTATGTATTCGTGCATTGAAAATCAAAAGCTTTTATACGAGCGAACACACACATAAATATGCGATATGCAAGATTGATTAAATAAATTTCAGTAGAGAATTGTAAATGAAAGAGAGAGAGAGAAAGAGAGGGGAAGAAGTGTTGCAAATTCGTAAAAATACAATTGTACAAATACGAATAAATCGATGAATTAATCGGAAAAATTGTAACAAATTTCAATAGGGCAGAATGCAATATATATAGGGAACTCGACGTAAAACGGATTTGCAAATGAAAATGTTTCTAACCCGGGCTCTATAAGAGAATTACATCTCGCTAGCCGGGCAAGAAAGTTGTAGAAGTTTGCATCTGCATTCTGCAGGGGTAGGTGGAATCGCCGCGCGAATTCATCCAAGAGATCTACCGGTGAGCGAACGGGCGACTGCGGTGACTGCGAGCTCACCCTGGGCGAGAGCCTTCAGCAGAGAAGAAGGACGATTATCAAGCTGCGTAAAGCCATCACAAAGCTAATCGGTCAAAGTTCACCGCGCCGCTTGGCCGGGTGGCGCAGCATTTATCTCGACTTTCGCGACGAAATGACCTTTTCGACCCGCAAGCCGTGCTTCCCGAATCTCCGCCCGGGCTTTCAATCGAAAGCGCGGTTTCCGCTTCGGCTGCGGAAGGCCGCGAGGCTCGCAGAAAAGCGGCCGTTCGCCGCGTCTGAAGACTCCACCAACGCTCTGCTTCGGTAATTGTCGCAATTACCGCCGAAGGCGCGGGCAAATCAGCGTCGAATTTCAGAGGTGTCTGCGCGAGACCGTTCAAATGTCGACGTAATTGACATGTTACCGATGACACATCTAGCGTGCGCGTTTCACTTCCTCGACCGTGCGTCATCGTCGCGACGACCGGTCAATTAGTCGCGTCAATTAGTCGCGCGCAATTCGATCATTTAAATTAATCGGTCTTTTTAATCCTTTCACTGCCTTATCCTATCCTTACTACTGTTTTTTAAAGGTGTAATTCTTTTACTTTCATTTTATTAAATATATATAATGTAGTTTTAGCAAAAAAATAAATAAAAATTGTGTACTTGGCGTCGAAAAGAATAAGGCTGTTCAGTTAAAGTTATTATTAATGGTGGAAAACATTTGTCTTGTTGGTAGCGAAAGAATGAATTTACTTTTTGTTTTGTAAACGTCGCGATCCATTTCCTGTGCACGATGCGAATTCTTTTACCACTGAAGTAAATCAACACAATGACGGAAACATTTCGTTGACTCTGAATAAATGCTGTTTAATATTTAACGTTTGATTAGACTGTATAATAATTATTTAAATATTTATATTACTGTATATATTACTTAAGTATAATAATTACTTAAATATTTAACTGTATAATAATTACTTAAATATTTACTGATACCTTATGTTGGCTTTTATCAATTTGTTTTTTATTCTTTTTTGATAGTTTTCAGTAATTTCGGAGTCCGAATCATGCGGGAAACAATTCGGCACCTTTGTATCTCGTTACGTCGCGAATGTCGGTCAAATTTTTAACACGGGGGAAGAACACACTACGAGCACTGGATCGTCGATACAAAAATAACAACGGCAATTAATTGATCGCTCGGATAATTCGTTTCCATCGAATGCAGCGAAGCGAAATTACATTGAAAATCGAACTGGGCGATAGATCCAATACGAAGCCTGGAAAGCACACATTTTCGGAGACAAATCGGAGACAATTCGGGTCGGGTAAAAAACCTCGCTTGTAATTTATCCAGATTACCTGGATCCCGGCGCGACGAGCACGTAAGGATTTAACGTCAATCTCCGAGTACGAATCGCGACGGAGGCTTCAATCTTACGCAAACCACGGAAAATCAAGTTTGTTGACGCGATACGCAGCGCCGGAGTATATACCCTTCCGCGATTGTGTACTTACCGCTGTACCGTGTGTTGGGCATGTACGCATAAACGAGCTCGGTCCTGTTGTACAACGTCATGAAAAAGTTATATCTGCCTTCGGCATTGGAGCGTGGCGTGGTGACGCCGTCTATGAGCCGGCTGCATTTTGTCGAATTCGCACTCGTTACCGCCGCGAGCAGCAACAAGGCACCATGTACGATCTTGGCGCTACGCATGACCTACAAACAAAAAAAACGGTATAACAATATACAAAATTGGCTCTATGGGTGAAACCCATTCATCAAATACACAATTTATTGCAACACTAGACACAGCCTGTCTGAACCTAAGCCACACCTGTCCCACACCTCGTGTACATGCACAGGCTAGGTCAAACTGAACAAAAAAGTCTTCTACCATTTCACAATTACCACGTAAATTTTTCAACTATTAATTAACAAATATTAGTGCATTATCGCGCGTGTTCATTCGCCAATCTTCTTTAATCGATAACTCAAAATCCACGCTGCACGCAAAAAAGTGACTTAGTAATATCAGCTAAACTGTGGTAGCTGATTCAAACTTAGTTAAAAGGCGAATCGTTTAGCTGTCACTGCTAAGAATTGGCTATGACAGCTAAAATGCATTCATTATGAAATACAAATATATTAGGAGATGTTAAAAATGCACATTATTTCAAGTAGCAATGGCAGTTATTCCTAAATTTCTTATCGTATGCATATATTAAAGAAGTTTGCCACACAGCTGCAATCATTCAGCTACAGTCATTTGTTTTTAGCAGCTAATATTTCTCGCTGTAACGCCTAAGTTTAAACAGCGAATAAATTTAGCTTCGGTAGTATCGACATTAGCTGTCTCTATTTCAGTGACACATCTTATCTGCCACAGCTATTTTTTAGCTCTGGAAGCTAGTTTTTTTTTGCGTGTGTTGTTTGCGCAATGATATAGAACTTTTTTGTTCAATTTAACTTAATCCACAAGCACGCAATGGCAGGTGTCGTTATCACAGCTCATCTGCCTACATCGCGTATGGTTATCCACCAATCTTCTTTAAGACACCTTGTATGTAACTTAATGAATTGAGGTGCGATATAACAGAGTCAATCACCGATGATCGTCACGGCATTCAACTATATTAAATACTTATTCCTTGCGTCTCTCGTCACTTGACATACACGTGCCACTCTGTTATTCACGATATCGCGAAATTAGATTTGTCATATTCCTCTGAAACGTCTCATGTCTCGCGCCCGTCCGTCGAGTCCGTCGAATATCGAGCAGTTCGCGGCTCCATCGCTGTGCTCTTTACAATCGTCGTGATTGCGCCATTCGTGTATTGAATATCGCCGAGTTTGGATTACAACGACGTGCAAGTCGATTACAACGTAAAAGAAAGTCGACGGCTCGGAGCGACTGAGGATAGATGAAATTAAAATGGAAATCAGTTTCGCGGTTGGCAGGAGAGTGTGCGACGAGAGAGGCGATTTTCCCGAACCTTCTCGCGCGTTCAAAGGCCCGCCGCATCCTCCACGTCCTCCGTTTATTTCCCTATTATGCGTTTTAATTAACATTTAAACGAAACGAATAATCCTACCGGGTCACTTCGATGCATTTCAACATTCCGTCGTATATGACTCGCGATCGCGGGCCTGTCAAGATGATTGCAGGCACGCGACGGGCCCCGATTTCTCGAACAGCCATTCCTGGTTCAGCGGGCTAAAGTATCAAGACAAACATCTACTGCAATTCCTATCAAGCGCAAAATTAGCTTTCTAGATCTGGCACTCGACGAAAATGAAGCACTCGAATTTTGCGCGTTCGAAGAATGAACCGTCTGTCCGAGAAAGATGAGCTTTCCAACGACGCCGACGACAACGATCAGCGACTACGAGGGCTCGCGAGGCGAGCGATGAATGCACGTGAGCACCGCGGACTAGAACGATGCCAACACGTGAGACAATTGGCCGCGGTAGCCACGTGCTCGGTGCAACAACGCGCTGCTTAAAATGCGCGCATCGCCGGCTGAGTCATCATTCGCCGATCTTGGCAGGATCGTGGTGAAATGGGGGTACGTAAGGTTGTTCGCACTTTCCCCGGTTCATTGAACGACCGTGTATCCGGGACGTACCGCGTGATGACGAAAATGACACCTAGCTTCGAAGAAGCGAATGGCTTCAGAGAAGTAAATGAAATAGCTTAAACCCTCTCGGTCTATTCTCTAACATGATATTGAAGGACTAATTAATCTTCTTAAAAAATAAGGACTAATTAATCTTCTTAAAAAATAAGTAAACTCTCACGTTATTCCGTGAAGGATCTTTAAGAAAGAACAAGATATCGATCCCTACAAAGTAGCTGGAATTGCTCGGAAAAGAAGCTCAAAAACTAAAATTGAACCCGACACAGATTTAACTTATAATAAATTGAGAACTGTATCATTCGGTCCGAGTGATACAGCCCGGAATATCGATTTTTAATTAGTAATTATTCTAATTATATATTCAAGACGAAATGTATGACATACTATGTAACTATTTGTTAAATACTATGTAATAATATAGCTATATTATATTAATATATAAAATTCCATTAAATAATCAGAACATTGATAATGAAAACGAAATGTTTTAATGACAAATAGTGGCGATTAATTTAACTATTTAATATTTCTACAGATTATGTATCCACGTGCATACGAGTAGTTTCAGGTATCATAAAATCTCAGTGATGGTAAAGAGACTAAAGCAACGCGCTGTGTTATTGCAAGATGACGCTCTTTCTGTGGCGCGTGACCCTCACGAATTCGCCATCGTGTCGCGAGCCGAACGTGTGTGAGAGAGATGACGAGCACGACGCGCTCGTGCGGCACGTCGATCCATGAGCATCACTGGCCTCTAATAAGCTGGTTAACCATAAATCCCAAGTGCCTAAATATATTGGTCCAAGCTGGTGTATATAGGGCATGGCATTTCATTCTGCTTGGCGCTGTGCCATGTTCGTTGTACCCTCGGAGCGCGCGGTACACTAACAGGAACTCAAACAATATCTATCAAGAGACTCGACCGCGACCAACGTTTTCCTTTGTACGACGCTTTTATATCGTCGAAATTAAATTATTACACGGCCCCGATTTGTTTGTAAGAAATTCGGTCTGGCTTGTATAGACCTGTAAACCCCTGAGATTTACACAAGAGAAAGAGATGGAAAGAATAGAGTATTAAACCCTAAGATTGAACCCCTTGGAGTTTACAGAAAAACAGAATATAATATGGTCGCAAGAAATAGCGCACGCAGAAAAAAGAAACAATAAAAATATATAGAAAAATTAATAACATACTAAGTGGGCACATTACCGACAATAATAAAAAAATAGAAGTCCTGTCCTGAAGAATTAGTGTCCTGAGCAAAAATAACTAATACAGTTTTGACGAAGATACATTAGATCCTGCAAAAGGACTTGAGAAAAAAGAGAGAAATCGCAAACAGAGAGAAAGAGAGAATAGGACATGGACATAGTATATATGGATTCCGAATGTCCTATATGTTCTGTCGTCTAATAGAGTAAAGCCAACATCTAGAAAGAGAGCGAGAATAGAGAGACTATGGTTTTCTTCCTAATTTGTCACTTCTTTATTGCGCGTGCATCCATTTCTCGTTTCCATAATATTATAGAGCGCAACAACATCCCGACTAGACTAGCAAGTAAAAGTTTTACTTAAATCTTATTGCACACTTTGTCTGTGCAGAAAGAGACAGAGAATAGAGGGGCTGTACATATTGGCTTCTCTTTTCTGACTGTATGCGGAGTCTATGTACATTATATCTATGGTTTCTTTCTACATGTTGGCTCCACTTTTCTGGATGTATGCCGGGTCCATGTATACTACGTCTATGGAATATCGGAATGTCCAGGTAAAAGACAACAAAACAGTAACACAGCTGCGATATTTCGACGTTCTTTCCTAAGATTATTAAATATTACATCTATTTATCTCGCATGTCGCATTTCGTTAATCTGCGCGCACATAGCAATACATATCATATATTTGGTGAAATTTTACAACGTCAACGAAAAGCGCCAGTTGGACGAGAAATAATATATTTATCAAGATCTCCATTTATTTATCCGTACCGCTGGGGCTGCAGGATGTTTAATTAAGCTTTTGCAAAATTAATACCCGTATAATGCCCAACGAATTAATTTAATGATTAAAAAATTATTGCGCCCCGTTATCTCCCCTCTCTCTCAATTCGCCAGGCGTTTTCAATTATGTCGCTTAATTAAACTCTATGAAGTTATAGACTGTTAATGGCCCTCTTTCTCTTTATATATGTATATTATAAACAAAGGCTGCGAGTGTAAACATGCAATTAAAGTCGAACGCGTTACGCGCGGCGCAAGTGTATCCTGAAATGAATAAACTATTTAGAGTATCAATGTGAATGATGTTGTTATTTTACAGCAGTAAATGTAGAAATAGTCGACCCGCGGGACAACAAATAGCAATTGCGATGCGTTTTATATTTCATCGTTCGGCAATTTCGAGATTTTCGATAGGTAGACAGATGCGCCGTGCCTGCAAACTCAAAAGCTCGAAATAATGATCCGATGTTTTTGACATTTTATCTTTGATAACTATTTTATTTAGATATTTAAGATATTTTATTGTGAAAAAGTGCCTCCTCTCTCGTGTCTCTCTCTCTCTCTCTCTCTCTCTCTCTCTCTCTCTCTCGCCTTCTCATTATTTCATACGCTCCGTTTGCGCATGTGATTCATGCAGGTCTATCGAAATTTTATAAAGCACCATCGCGGTGCCCGGTCTCGCAGTCGGGATCAAAAGCGATCGCTGAGTTATCGAGGTAAATGAGGTTGCCGGATGAATAAACGACGGACGGGCGGACGGCGTGGAGTTAAGGGGTAAGAGGGACGACGGAGCAGGAGGGTGGCGAGATTCGTAGGGGGACTCGCATCGAGGAAAGTGCAACTCCGAACGACGGATTGCCGGCGATGCCAATATGTCGGTTTGGAACTTTGGAAGAAAAACGAGGAGTGCACAGTGAATGGCGAGGACCTCTTGGCGATATTACGAGGATCGAAGCCGTCCCCGCGACGGAGGGAGCGAAAGCGGCTGCTATGCATTCATGCTCTCGTCAAATAGACGATTTAATCCTTAACGGCGTGCCGTAATCCGTAATTTCCGCCGCCGATACCGCGTTC